GGTCAAAGTCCATCCTGTCATGTGGATCCTCTCTGCCCTCTACCTCATCAGATGTCCAAATCGGAGGCCCTAGGGCCATTTACATTTCCATTGGCAACGAGAAGCTGTTGAGTTTGGGAATTTGAGTTTCGATTTTCTAGGATTCTTCACGATGTTGAAATCGTGAATTGGGGATAAAAAAAACAACTTAAACATATCTTTTTTCGTTTTCGGATGGGTTTTGGGTAGAGCAATCGGGTTTCGGTTTTAAAAGCGGGTCAATTTCGGTTTACTGTTTCTAATCGGGTCATTTACGATAAACTGACAGTTTAGTTTCCTAAAACAGATACTTAGTCTACAGTAAACCAACGATTAACCAATTTGGGGTGAAATAAGGATCATTCTGGGAAGAAATGAGCGTTTAATTTTTATTCTGTGGAGAAATACGGGTCTAATACTAGTTCTGGGGGGAAGCAGTACGCGAATAGTTTTCCGGGTCTATCTAAAGAGATATGGACATTTCGAGGGGGAATTAGTACGTTTTCCTACAAAATTCGAATCATAGTTTAAATCTAATACCGGATTTAAACCCGGTTTATACAACTACATAAAAGACAAATGAAGGTAAATGCAACTTATTTGTGTCGTTATGTTTCTGCAATTTCAAGGGGCTTACATGAAACAGATTGAAAGTAGAAGAAAACTATCAATGAAGAGATTCTAAGATTTTAATGTCCACGGACTTTGACTTTGAGAGTCCATTGAACACTTCCTTGTGGCAAAGGAATAGTCTTGGGGAATTTCAGAGGCACTTCATACTCACCAAAAGTTGTCAATGGCTCCGGTAGAACCACATTGTCCGGATCAATCTTCACACAGAGCTGTCTCGCCACCTTTAAAAAATAAAACCGACACAATAACTGGAGATGATAAAGATCTACTTATACAAAGCAAAGGTTTACATAAATGTCACATACAGTAGTAGCTAAAAAGATGTTAGAAAGGAAAAAACAGTTTTACCTCAGAGACTATCTCCTCCTTTGTCACAGGTTTTTGAACATCCGGTTTGTCGTCTTTTGAGGAGCGGTTTTTGAACTTTTCCTTGTCAATTAACTTCCTCAGTACCTGTTTAATCAAAACAAATAGAGATTTCATGTTCCTGAATATTCCACAAGAACAAGAATGCTGAACAGTGAATACTAGATTACCAAGTTGGCATTTCCCAGGCGCTTTGCGGCCTTTTCATACTCTTTTGTCTGAACTTCAGAAGTTTTATGAACCACCTTAACCTCTTCCTTTTCTTGATAATTATATATCTGAACATGACATTCCCATCAAGAAATCAAATGACTAAAGGAAAACCATTCAACACTCTTTACCAACCACAACACTATAAGGGAATGTCAAAAGTATCTGATTTACCCTTTACATCAAGAACTATATACATCATCATCAAGAACACAGCCTATAGAACAACAAGAGCAGAAAACAAGTAGAGCTAGAGCATGCTACAACCTAGTAATCAAACGACTGAATCAATTTTGCAAAGTTGAAGTATTTACCTTGCGTTGCTCTCGGATAAGATAAGCATACTTGTCAATGTTGGGCACAGCAAGGAGTTTAGGCATAAGGTGATTCCTGAAGTACCCAGGAGCCACTTTCACCGTCTCACCAGATTTCCCAAGCTTCTCTATGCCCTATCACACAAATCAGAAACAAACCCACCATCTCATTCAGATCAAAATCCAACGAAATGAAACAGAAATTGAAAAAAATCAAAGGAAGAGAAGAGTGAAGAGTGAAGAGTGAATGTTTTGAGCCTAAACCCACCGTTGTAAGAATAACTTCCAATTTCCTGTATCGAACTCCTTGACAGGCGAAAAGAAGAGGATGATGGATCGCATTATCATACTTGTGGAAAGCTGTTCCTTTGGAAACTACATGACGAATAACATTTCGACTTTGCCCAACATAAGCCATTCTCGATTCAACGAGATTCTCTGCGATGAAATGCAAGAGAAAAGGGCTGAGACACAAAACCCTACAATACGACGGATATGAGAGAAAAGGGAGAACCAAAAGAGAAGATAAGTATGAATTACCAGTGAAGAGGCAACGCGACGACGGTGACGGCGGCGAGATGCGATGCGATGCGATGCGACGTCTCCTTTTCACGAACTCGAAGAAAGGGGAAGAAGCCCGCAGGCGAGGTTTTAGCAGTGGCAATTTTTGTAAAAAACAAGACTTTTAAGATTTAATTTTATTATTTAGCCCTAAACTTTCTGATTTTACAATTTACCCCCCCTAAACTTGCTAACTACTTTCTAACAAAACCAACGAAACACTATGCCGATTCTTCAATCTAAATGGATGTGATTTTAGTATGGATTTGTCGAATATTTTTGTTTTCGCTCGATCACTGAGCATATAAAAATACCCATGAAGATATGTAAATTCAAAAAAGATTTGAGTCTTTAATGATAACTTCGGATTAGTCTTTGATGACTTTTATGAGTTACAGAACAACGGAAAAGACTAACAGACAACATAGAAACCACCAAAGAGAAAGAGATGAAGTTCAAAAATATGTTCATTTCATCTAAACCTACCTGTTACTCCTTCCTTACACTTCCCACTGAAATCCTAATACTCAACAAATCATACAAACTCCACATTTCTCCGTTTCTAGACCTCATCCTTGCGCTAAACGATGATTCGGTCCAAAGCTCACGGCCCATCCTCTTGTACTGCACCAAAGAAGGAACATAAATCAGTCTTTACAGATCAGCGATATACAATATTTAGTTTGGAAAGAGAGAAACTTACTGCTCAAAATGAAGCCTTGAAGCAAGCTCTGTGCTCTCTCAGCCTGCTCGGGTGTACCCGAAATTCTAATGATATTCTGTGTTTCTTCAGGTCCATCTTCAACTAAGGTTACACTAGCTCCAGACCACTGTGATCGAGTGTGAAAAGAGTGAAGACAAAGCGTCTAAGATTTGGTGTAAAGACATGATTTGCAACCAATCCAGTTCCAGTCAAAAGAGTTTTTTTACCTCGCTGATTTGGGCAAGCTTGTTTCTTGATTTCGTGACAAGCTTAGGAATAGCTTGGTCTGGTAAGACAACTTCCAGAGTGCTCCTAGTAACAAGTGGCACCGACATTCTAGAGAAGAAAAAAAATACAGGAAGGAGAGGAGTAAAACTAGCACATCTTGTTGTTCTCGTAATATATTTTAGTCTACGGTTTACGGAAATAAATATTCTAAATATGGGAGTTTTCTCTACCTGCTTGTCGTGACAGGAAACTCATCCCGGTGTTCGCTTTCAGCTGCCTTTGCAACTGATCCACCACCTTCCTACAAAAACCAAGAAGAAAATTATATGTAAATACAGGAACATTGCACGGATGGACAAGAGCCCTTAATCTACCTTCAGAGTATTCAAGTCATTGTACATAGCCAAGTTGCAATTTTACGTTGTTTCCATATCTAACTTTCATTAAGCGTATAAACCTAACTGAGTATGAATGCATCTTTATTGACAAGATTGTTGATGAGATATGAAACCTTAAATTGTGGAGCGATCGAGCTAACTTGCTGCAAATTCAGATTGGAACCGGTAAGACCTTCACGGGATTGAGTTGTGTTATTTGATGAAGCTACCTCAATTACTCCTGCAACACCTTCAAGAGGACCAGTTGTTGATGTGGATCCCGGCGGTGTCTCCTTTTGAGAGAGTTCCTTGTACCTATGACTCCTCAATCTCAAGGTTAGTTCAACAAGTGCATCCCGAGCTGCTCTGATCTCACCAGCAATCTACATACACATGAGGATTCTCTTTCAGACCAAAAAGTAAGTTTAGAATATGCCCAACTCCTAAAAATTACACATACAAACCTGTACAACAACATCATTGACAGAAACAGAACCGGGAATTTCTTCCCTAGCTAGGATCAGTACGCTTGCACCAGTTAATTGCGATATCTCAGATACTGATCCTGTTTTTCCTTCCAAACATACTGAGTCTCTAGATGGGACAAGTAATCTCGTTGTTATTAAGTTCTCTTTATCCGGGATAAGATCTACGATCCGAGTTTGAATGTGCAACAAGGCTTCTTGAGCAGGAAAAAGTTGATCATCAGGAGCCTAAGCAAAATAAGAAAACAGAAGCTCAAGTTCACAATTGTATATGTAATAGATAAGATTGAAGAAGATCTGGAGATAATTCGAGTACCTCTTCTGAAGAAATGGTAATTATCTGTTCATCAGATCCAGCAACAGGTTCAGATACTCTCATGTCCACGCCAATCTCGTTTTGAAGCAAATCTATTATTCCTTCTGATTCTTCAACAACCCGAACAATCTTGTCAACTGGGCAGAGAATCTGGAACACAAGCTCTTCCGTGTAGAAAGGCTGTGAATTCTCACCAGCTGGAAATGCTGGAACTTCCGCTGCATAGTTAGATTGGCGAGAGTTGAAGCTGTTATTTCTATAATTGGCTCGAGAAAATCTATCAGATGATTGTCTTCTTGACTGTGGGATATAATCATCAGCCGGTGGAAAGGGACGTTCTGGTGAATGTATACGCCCTTGGAAATTACTCCGATCACGATGTTGACTCTCTCTCAGACGCGATGATACAATAGCTAAAGCGTTTTTTACTGCATTCTGTTCACCTACGATCTGGAAACAGGCATCACCACAAACACACATTTCCCATAGGTAAGCAAAAACCATGACCAAGATAACTACATAAGAATAATCTGACTACTGTAAACAACCTTAAACCTCAAAGTGATAAGCCAGACAAACTATAATCAAGAAAAGGCATTACTGTGAACATTTCACATCAAAATCTTAACCATTTCGTTTGTAAGAGCAAATTCCAGACCTGAACAACTTCTTCAGCTTGGGAAACACAACGAGGCAAGTTACTTTCCCTTGGGAGAATCCTAATATGAGTCTTAGTTTCGATCCTCATTTGCTCGATAATCTTCCCACCTTTACCCAACAAGCAACCAACATGCATCTTCGAAACCACTAACCTAGTCACCACTTTGCCTCCTCCAGGTCTCACTCCACCGTAATCCTCCTCCTCTTCCGGCGGAGGTCCGCCGTACCCATGGAGAGCTTCGCTCTCTAGAATCCTGTCGTGAACACTAAATAAAGCCTCTTGAGCAGGGGAGAAAGACGGCATTCTACCGTCGGGATCACGGCGACGATTGTCGGAAATCTCAATGATACGCTCGACGTCTCCGGGAACTAGCTCGTGCACGTTAATCCACGCGCCGGTGTGTTGCCTTATAGACTTTATAATCGTCCCTGATTTTCCGATGACACCTCCTGCTTTGGCGTCATGACAGAGGACACGATAGGTCGTCGTTGCCATCGTTTCCGGGTGAGACTTCGATGGCCGGCCGTTTCCACCTCCGCCGCCACCGCCACCGCCACGGTATCTATTATTTCCTCCGCCGCCGCCGCTAAAGTGATAATTATTGTTGTAGCGAGGTTTGGACCTTCCCATGGAATCTCCATCATAGTCCTGGACATAGTGATAGTTCCTCTTCGATCTAGATCTCTCCATTTACAAAAATCGTTAAACCCAGAAATCAAGTCCAATCAATTAGTCATTTACAAAAGTCCCTAAATTTGAACTCGAGGGTTTCAAAGGAATCAGAAAGTTCACAGACCCTAGAAGCACAGTTTCCAATTTACTCTCCCTTTCCCGGGAAAAAAGGAAGCAAATTTTCCGTCAATTTCTAGAGAAAACTCAGAAGGGGAATGCGAGGAGGTCCACAATCGGAGCAAAATCAGATATGGGCAATGCAAAGAGTATTCTGTGTTGAGGGTTCTTGTGTGTTGTGAATCACAAAGGGAGTTTTAAAGTT